AGTCAGGGTCCAAGAGAATCCCGAGAAACTGTAAGTAGGTATGCAACCCGAGCAGCCACAGTGTGATGGTTATACATGTCCAAGGGGATAACCAGGTAGGACCTGGCATGTATGATTGTGCGCTACTGTAAACCTGACATGGCATCTGAGTAGGTTGCCGGGTCTGAGCAACATGGTTCTTCCCATTCCTTATACACATGACCTCCGCAGTCACGTCGATTCTTCCATATCAAGCAAACTGAGAAAGCCATCGATAGGATCACCAAATGAACCCCTTTTCCAAGTGTCCGTCGTTGGACCAACTGCATTTCGCTAGAGAACAATATACTACGCTGCTACCACACTACGAATATGTACTGTGGTATATGCGGGCGATTTTAAACAGTTAAGAGCGAAGCGATTAAAAGATTCGCCGATCGAAGGGTTAGTTGCCCAATCTGGAAAGCGCGGGGCTCCGGCAAGTAGCGAATAGTCTCGACCTTCCACACTAGTCGAAGCTCAGATGACAAAAAGATGGAGGGGCAGCTCTGAAGTGAAGAGTATCTGAAGTGTGGGTAGGGTTCAGAGTTCGATGGTCACTCAGCCTCGGGCAGATGGAGAATCTGGCCATGTCTCTCCGACTGTACGCTGACGCTTGGGGCTCCGGTTCGGCCGTCACCCGCGGAGCCCTTGGAACCAAAACAACCTCCAGACGGGATGGTCATCCCCAATCCCAACCCGAGTCCCGTCCAGGTCCCAATGGCCCCAATGGCGGCCCTCCACAGTCCACAGTGGTCCCCATCCCGAGCCAGGTCATCCACCCGTCCGACCCTAGCAGTGTGCCTAGTCAGTCAATCCGTACATCATTCACGGTTACATCCTCTATCCATGCAGCTCTCCATGGCCTTCTCCATTCGGGCGGGTATGCGTCGTTTTGGTGGTGGTTTCGGTGGTGCTCGGTGGTGCTCATAATACAAAAGCCCATCGGCCCCCGTCCTGCCATCCCGCCGTCCCCCCTTCCTTCTGCCTGCTGTACCTGTACACCAACCTGACCTGCCTGTTGTCCTCTCCTTTTTCCTCTTTGCCCTTTTATCCCAATCTCCTCTCTTTGGTTTGCGAAACCTTGGCCTCCTGTCAGCTGGCCACCGTGATCCATTCACTGCTCTGCCTTGTCCTGCGTCTTTGATTTCAGCACCGAATCCGTCTTGCTTGGAGCTGCTTCTACCTCGCATCCTTTTCAGCGAAGCGCAATATTGCTTCAGCACAGACATCTATCATTAACACCCAGAACAACCACACCACAGCCACCATGTCTGGTAGCCCCGATTCTTCCGCGGCAGTAGTGCCCGAGGCTCACGTTGTTGAGACCTACCGTAAGTTCCGAAGCCCCCCAGAGCCCCAATTGGCCGCGCAGCATGGCTGGCTGTCAGGAGATGCAATGCGCTCGGGAGACTCTCATGAGGAGACTGGAGGCTCCAACACGAGATTCGGCTGGCCGCGGAGTTGCGCCGAACAGGCTAGCAGGGTCTTGAGTCAGGCAATTTGCTAACACTGGAATTTTCTCTTAGAGCCCCCTAAGGAGATGCTTGAGAGTATGTTAACCCCCCATGGTGGATGCCGCCCCCAACCAAAGTTGTTGGGGTTGATCGGTTATTGTCACACCACTGCGGGGAAACTCGCCTAGGACTAAGGGAAAGGAACACGCAAAAATTGCTAACTGGATACCACAGACCACCCAAGCAAACCTCATCTTGCCAGTGAGTAAACCCCCTAAAAACTCCGTTACCCGGGCCCCCGGCCTACTATTATCCCCGCCCCTTCCCTCGCACAACCTGGAAGGCAGCATTCGCTTCCGCGCCGGTTTTCGGCGACTGCTACGCTACGCGCACTTCCCCCTTTTCTCTGCGTCCGACTCCAAGTTGTCGGGTCTCCGGACCCCTCATCTGGTCCAATCCCATTCCCTTGTGCTTGAGCTAACATGACTTTGCGCCAGACTTCGAGGAGTACCAGAAGTTGTACAAGCAGTCCATCACCGAGCCCAATGTGTTCTGGGCTGAGCGCGCCCGCGAGCTCCTGTCGTGGAGCAAGGATTTCCAGACTGTCCACAGCGGTTCCCTCGTCAACGGTGACAACGCCTGGTTCGTAGAGGGCGAGCTCAATGCCTCATACAACTGCGTCGACAGACACGCCCACAAGGACCCCAACAGAGTCGCCATCATCTACGAGGCCGACGAGCCCGGTGAGGGAAGGAATGTTACCTATGGCGAGCTCCTCAGGGAGGTCTCCAAGCTCGCCCATGTCCTCACCAACTTGGGCGTTCGCAAGGGAGACACCGTCGCCATCTACCTTCCCATGATTCCCGAGGCCATCGTTGCCCTGCTTGCTTGCAGCAGAATTGGCGCCATCCACTCCGTCGTTTTCGCCGGTTTCTCCTCCGACTCCCTCCGCGACCGTGTCGTCGATGCCCAGTCCAAGGTCGTCATCACCACCGATGAGGGCAAGCGCGGTGGCAAGCTGATTGGCACCAAGAAGATCGTCGATGAGGCTCTCCAGCAGTGCCCCGATGTTCGCAACGTGCTCGTCTACAAGCGCACCGGCGCCGACATCAACATGACCCCCGGCCGTGATCTCTGGTGGCACGAGGAGGTTGAGAAGTACCCTGCTTACTACACCCCCGTGGCCATGGCCTCTGAGGATCCTCTCTTCCTTCTCTACACCTCTGGCTCCACTGGCAAGCCCAAGGGAGTTGCCCACTCTACCGCTGGTTACCTGCTCGGTGCTGCCATGACCGGCAAGTACGTTTTCGACATCCATGACGGTGACAGGTACTTCTGCGGTGGTGATGTCGGCTGGATTACTGGTCACACCTATGTCCTCTACGCCCCGCTCTTGCTCGGTGTCTCGACCGTCGTTTTCGAGGGTACCCCCGCCTACCCCAACTTCTCCCGCTACTGGGACATCATTGAGCAGCACAAGGTCACCCAGTTCTACGTTGCTCCCACTGCCCTGCGCCTGCTGAAGCGCGCCGGTGACCACCACGTTCGCAACGAGATGAAGTACCTCCGTGTTCTCGGCTCTGTCGGTGAGCCCATCGCCGCCGAGGTCTGGAAGTGGTACTATGATGTTGTCGGCAAGGGCCGCGCCCAGATTTGCGACACCTACTGGCAGACCGAGACCGGCTCCAACGTCATCACTCCCCTTGCTGGCGTTACCCCCACCAAGCCCGGTTCCGCCTCTCTCCCCTTCTTTGGTATCGAGCCCGCGCTTGTCGACCCCGTTACCGGCGAGGAGATCCACGGCAACAACGTCGAGGGTGTCTTGGCCTTCAAGCAGGCCTGGCCAAGCATGGCCCGCACCGTCTGGGGTGCCCATAAGCGCTACATGGAGACCTACCTCGATGTGTACAAGGGCTACTACTTCACGGGCGACGGTGCTGCCCGCGACCACGAGGGCTTCTACTGGATCCGCGGCCGTGTCGACGACGTCGTCAACGTTAGTGGCCACCGTCTCAGCACTGCCGAGATTGAGGCTGCTCTGATTGAGCATCACTCCGTTGCCGAGTCTGCTGTCGTCGGTGTTGCCGACGAGCTCACCGGCCAGGCCGTCAACGCCTTCGTTGCCGTCAAGGAGGGTACCCAGATCAACGACGCTCTCCGCAAGGAGTTCGTCCTCCAGGTCCGCCGCAGCATCGGTCCCTTCGCTGCTCCCAAGGCCATCTACGTCGTCCCTGATCTTCCCAAGACTCGCTCTGGCAAGATCATGCGCCGCATTCTGAGGAAGATCGTTGCCGGTGAGGAGGATCAGCTTGGTGATATCACTACTGTAAGTTCCAGTCCACAAACCGGATAGCTGCATGCAAAGTACTAACAATTGGAAATAGCTCTCCGATCCCAGCGTCGTTGCTAAGATCATCGAGGTCGTCCACGAGCAGCGCAAGTAAAGAAAGAGAAAGCCAACAAAGAAGTAAAAAGCATATAAACCTATCTAATCTTTTTCTTTATTTCGAATGGGGCAGGGGATTTTGGGATTCATATACCATAAGGGCTAGCCTACTAGTAAGCTGCAAGTCAGTGTCAGTAGTGGTAGTCAAACGTCCAGGAAAAGGGCAAAAGGAAGGGAAACGGCAATGATTATATACCGGTTTTAGGTCAAGGAGAAGAAGAGGAAAGGGTGGAGGAGGAGGAAGAACACTTTAGTGGGTTCTTTCTTCTACACAAGGAAGGACGCACGGTCAGTTGGTCCGTCATATGTCGTCTCAACAGGCAGGCACATTGTTGAAAGATGAGCGATGTTTTTCTTTTTTTGGTTATGTTATATCATGGTACTCTTTTTACAACAGTATATCTTTTTTTTTTCCTTGGGTTATTACATGTTCCAGGATACCTCTTGAGCGAAAGATCAATAGATTACTGGTTTGCATCTATGCACCACAGGAGTCATTTCTCGTTGTTCAGCCGTCATATTGCGCAATTACTAGCCAGCAGAACGTTCTGCCGTCGCTCTGAGGTAGAGTTATCAACAGTTTTGATCCATCTCCCATCAAGACGTCAACAACCAACCCCCTTTCTCGTTGCGGCACTAGAAAAACAACCGCGATCGGCGTTAAGGGGGTGGCTAGTGCCCATAACAAAACAAACCCCCTTAACCAGTCTCTCCAGTATCAGCTCACGAACGAGCCTCACACACGCCACCCATTAAATCTATAAACTACGATACGTATCTCCACCCAAACAAACTCCAGGACAGCACAGCCTACCTAACAAGCGCGGGGGCGTAGTAGGTACGTAAGATGCCGAACCGACTGCAGTGAAAGGCATCACGGCATTGCGCAGGATTCCGCAGGAGCCGCGATTATTCCACACGGCTAGCGGGTTAGGTAGGTAGGTCATTGGGTAGCTGGCTGGGGCTTACGTTACCGCTTAGTCTTACCGGCGTAGAATAGTGGCAGGGCTGAGCAGAACGATCCTTCAGTAGCAATATCAAGTTAGTGAGTGGTGGGTGTGTTGAAGCGTGATCGAGCTTGTTGGGTCCATGAACGTTGGGTGGATATCGGCGTTGCCTTGGGTCGGATTTGATCATTTGGTTTCTTTCTGGATTTTTTCTTGGTGCAGTGTTGACTTGCAGAGCAGTTAGAATTTAAAGGTCATGCCCTGTGTGTGGTTTTTGGTGAAGTCAAATCTTGGCTGGGGGGGGAAATACGTTCTTGATGATGATCCGTGGATGGGCATGATTTGAAGCGGCGAGACTGCTTTTGGGTACTCGGTGTTGAGGACTCGAGGTCGTACGTAACGGCTATTTATAGGTTTAGACTCCCATCTAGTGCAATGTCGAAAGTCGGTATGATATGTGCCGAATCCCGTCTACTGGGGAACATTGCAGTTGGGAATGCACAACAGTTGCTTTTTCTCTCGCCTTTTTCTCTCATATTTTTTTTCTTTTCTTTCATCAAGATCCTTTGCTAAGAACAACTCGAGTTGCCCCGCAAGGTACCCATAGCCTTGTGTTCGTCTCATATCGGACATCCTCACTGCCGGTATCAAAAGTGTTAAGGTACCAAGTGCCTGTTAGTGCTGCAAGCTCACTGGTTGGTGCAGGAGGTCGGAGGTCTGAAACGCAAGGGGGGAAACGACCCAATGAAAAAAAGTGCCGTTCGTCACAGCTTCACAGGGCTGGGGCTAGTGAAGGGACTGACAGGGTGGGTGGGTGTAAACCACCAGATCGTGGATCATGACCTACAGAACAGAAGAATTAGAATTTACAAACAAAAACCGGTAGATAGATGTCGATTGACGAACGCCCGTTTTGGTATTTCGATCTTCAACTCTCGAGGATCCAGGTTCGGTTGTCGATGTCGATGGCGATGCCGAGACTTGGTAAATTCAACAATGGATCTCGTCCAGACCAGTTCGCTCGCTCACTCGCTTCCAAGAAGATTACAAAGATCTCGGTATGTTCGTCAGCCAGATGTCTTGTCTCGTAGACGCTTGGCAAGCTGCAATGTCTGGGCGGTAGGGAATGGAATAAGCGAAAGGAAGGTTTTCTTGGATGAAAATTGTTCGCGCGAGTGGATGTGAATCAAGACCAAGACCGGAGGCAAGACCAAGCCTGGCGCAGTCGGGCAGCCACAGAAAGATAGACAGCGTTGTTAGGTGTGAATCAAGTTGTCTCTCTTTTGGGCGTGCGTCCGTTGCCCAGGTGGCTTTTGAGAACAGTACGCGCGGCCGTGGCTTGGACAACGAAAGGGTTGAATGCTGTTATCCCAAAAAAGGTCGCTGATGAATGCTGAGATGAGATCCGTGATGATGGGAAGTAAGGCGGATCCCCATTCAGTTGAAGGTTGTTGCCGCAGCAGCGATGATGATTGCTGTGGGTGTCCGGGCCCCGGCTGGGCGGTACAGGCGCCCATAAATGCCAGGGACGTGCAGGTGTCACACGGGGACGCTTGGGGTTGCTTGGCCTCATCTTGGCTGAGGCGCTGGGCGACCAATTATAGGTCGTGGACTTTGCAGTCTCCCACCGTCCCTTTCCGGTTTTGTTGCCCACCTCAGCCCGCTTCATCGACTGGTCCAACATCTCCTTTTTCGCTCGCTACGTCGGCTGTCGGCGCCTGATTGATGCTCACGCAACCACTCGGACGGACCTTTACACTGCCACCATCTTTTCCAACATTTCCCCATCCACACGGGTAGACGCCCTCGAGGTTCTTGGACATTCCCTCTTTTCGCCATTCATTTCTGCATCTGTCGACTATTGTTTCCGGAACATAAACTTTTATCGTTTCCGTTTCCCCCTCTCCGGCTATTCCTGGTCCCGCCTCTCTCTTTACACATCCACCGCCAACAGCTGCACATAAGCAAACAAGCGGGGAAACCCCAGAGCCGCCGAAGCATACGAGTGTATACATGTTTTGAATTGTTTGTGGTTTTACCATAGCATTAATTTCCACGATATCCCCGTTTCGCTCGTTTCTTGTCCATTTCAAGAATTGGGAGCCGATTTGCATCTTCTCGATGGACTACGGGCGGTGCGTATAGAAACGCTGTCTTTTTGAGCTGAAGTATGTTTGTTTCCAAGGCCTTCGCGGCCGTATTTGCTGCCGTTGGCCTGCTTGTCCAGCCTGCTACAGGTATGTTCATCGTCCTCTTTACCTCGTCCGAATATTATCTGGTTAACATGGCCGGCCTGAAGCACATTCGACGGAGAGGAACCCTCTATCCTACATTAGCCGTGTCGACGATGCCGTGATCCACACACCCTCGCACAGGGTGCACTCTCAGTCAACCTTCGACCTCAGCTTCTATCTCCACGATCGCCAGCAAAAGATTCGCTTCGTTCTAGAACCGAACCACGACATCCTTCCCGACGATGCGACAATACACATCTTGAGTCCCGATGGCAAGGTCAAGAGGATAGAGCCTATCGTCAGGGAAGAGCACAAGGTTTTCAGGGGCACCACGTTTGTTCAGAGGGAGGGGATGACGGACGCAGACTGGAGGCAAGCGGGATGGGCACGAGTCTATGTTCTCAAGGATGGGGAGCGACCGATTTTCCAAGGATCCTTCAGGGTAAACGGAGTCGACCATCACATCCAGACGGACACCAACTACAGGCAAACGATAATCAAAGGAGACCCGGAGATCGAGACGGCGGATGAAGAGTACATGGTTGTCTGGCGGGATTCCGACATTTTGAAACCGACACACGACGACTTGAAGAAGCGCGATGCTGCGAGCATGGGCTCTTGCGCCTCGAACGACCTGCTTTGGAATAGGGACGAGAACAACGGAGTCTTACGGTGGACCGAGGAGGTATTCGAGCATCAGAGCCGCTGGACTGTCAGCCCGAGGGCTCTTTTTGGACGACAAATGGATGGAACCCAAGGCGGCAATGGTGCTGGTGTTAATCTGCTGAACAGCATTGGTTCTACGGCCGGTTGCCCGACTTCGAAAAAGGTTGCCCTGATTGGCATAGCTACCGACTGCACCTACACGGAGAAATTCAACTCGACCGAATCTCTGAGGCAAAATGTTATCGACATGGTTAACAAGGCTTCTCAACTCTTCGAGAGCTCCTTTAGCATTTCTCTAGGTATCCGGAACTTGACTATCAGCGATAAGGAGTGCCCGGCCACGCCTCCTGACAGTGCGCCCTTCAATATGCCCTGCAGCAGCGGTGCGACCATTACCGACCGCCTTGTGAAATTTTCTGGATGGCGCGGCAAGTCCAACGATAATAACGCGTACTGGACTTTGCTGTCAACCTGCAATACTGGTTCTGCCGTTGGCCTCGCCTGGCTCGGTCAGGTCTGCCAAGTAGGCGCTGGGCAAAGCCAGGGCAACGAAACCGTCGCGGGCGCAAATGTTGTCGTTAAAACCTCTACCGAATGGCAGGTCTTTGCTCACGAGTCGGGTCATACCTTTGGTGCAGTCCACGACTGCCTTTCAGACACATGCGCAGACGGCTCCGCCGGAAAAAAACGAGTGCTGCCCCCTTTCCACCACCACCTGCGATGCCAACGCCCAGTTCATCATGAACCCGTCCACAGACGGCCGCATCACGTCCTTCTCGGCCTGCAGTATCGGTAACGTATGCAGCTTCCTGGGCAGAAACCCCGGAAGAATGAACTGCCTATCCAACAACAAGGACGTCGTCACTATCACCGGCCAGCAATGTGGCAACGGCATCGTCGAAGCCGGCGAGGAATGTGACTGTGGTGGCGAAGAAGGGTGCGGAGACAACCCGTGCTGCGATCCCAAGACGTGCAAGTTTACCACCAATAGCATTTGCGACCCCGCCAACGAAGAGTGCTGCACCGATAAGTGCCAGCTTGCTGGCGCCGAGACCGTCTGCCGCGCCAGCACTGGCCCTTGCGATCCAGAAGAGAAGTGCTCCGGCACCAGCGGCTCCTGCCCGGCTGACAAGACCGCCGACGACGGCACTTCATGCGGCGACTCGCTCACCTGCGCTTCAGTAAGTAATCTATGTATTTATAAATTAATAGAGGTTAACGTACGTACACTATAGGGCCAGTGCACCTCGCGCGATTTGCAGTGCAAGACGTTCATGGCTACCGAGGACACACACAACAAAACAAGTTCGTGCTCCAATGACGGCTGCGCGCTCGCATGTGAAGGTCCAATGTTCCCAGACGATAGGTGTTACACCCTTCCACAGTACTTCCTCGACGGCACCCCTTGCGAGGGTGGCGGCAAGTGCTCCAACGGCATCTGCGAGGGCGCCAAGCTCAGCAACCAGATCCTCGACTGGTTCAAGAACAACAAGAACATTGCCATCCCTGTTGGCTGCGTCATCGCCGGTCTTCTCCTCATCTCCTTCATCAGTTGCTGCTGCAGCTGTTGTCGGCGTGCGAGGTCGACGTCGAGGAGAGCACCTCAAAGGATGATGGCGCCGCCACCGGATATGGGTCGGCATCCTGTGGGGTGGAACTGGGGCGGCGGTAGGAACGGCAGACATGTTCCGTTGCCGTCGCAATCGGGACCGCCACCGCCGCCATACCAAGGAGGGCCGCCGCAGCCGCCCATGGGACAGCCCATGGGTCAGTATGAGCCGTTTAGGGAACAGCAGAGGGGGTATGCTAGGTATGCTTGAGCGCTGCCGTGCGTATTGTGTAAACTGGACTGTTTGTATATGAGCGAGCGTCTGAGGCGTTTGTATATTGATGATAAATGATGAACTTTTTCTGTTTCTATATTTGTTTTTCGAATAGATCAGCCTGCGTCTTACGGGCTGGAACTTGGTGACTGCTTGGTACTCCTGGTATACTGGACGAGATCTATCCCGGATTGTCCCAAACCTTATAAGGACAAAATGAATTGGCTAGGTACGGTTTAGAAAGCTATTAAGAAGATCCAATATGACATATTGAATTTCGGAAATAGTATATTCAAGGTAAGATCACGCTTTGATTATGGAACGAAACGAATCAATTAGACATGAAAACGCCTAGGGAAGTTGACCCGAGGTCTCGAGATAACAAACAAACCAGTATTGGACTGTAGAGACTTACTTTACCTAGGTGAGCTAGGTGGGAGGCAGTGTCCGGTCCAGGCACATTCCGAAATTGTCCTTCCCGAAACGTTCGAATCCCATGGGCCATCTCCAAGTTTTGCTACGGTTTTCGCTAAACAGAAGAAAAAGCGTTCCATTGGAAGAAGTTGGATATGATGAAGGTAGGAGGTAAGAAGTGAGGAGATCATGAAAGAGGAAGGTATGTGGTGTATGTGTTAGGCCGGTACGCCAAATAAGTCCTATCCCAGCTCGTCTGAGAGGTCTCGCGCTAACAGACTTTTCAGGGGTGCATTACACGGCAGGCGCTACCCAACACTACCAATTTCCTGTGTTTGGAAGCCAGACTGCGGGGCTTTCTCCCTCTTATTCTCTTCAGCCTCCAATCAACTACAGTTTCATAACGTCGGTTGGTTTGAGTTGTCTTTGTTTTCAACTTCCCTACAGTATTTCTACTGCCTCTAGGTCCCGATCCTTCTTTCTACATAGTATCTAGTCGATCCTTCAATTGCTCCACTTACAACCACCTCTTCGGGTTCCCCAGCCCCCTTCCCAAGACACGACTGAAGAGCGAGCCAACATGTCCGACATACGTTCGCCTAGCGTGAGGTGATGGTGGGATTGCGCACATCATCTATATTAATGCGAGCCGCTCCCGCCAAAAGAATCTATTGGGCGAGAGATCGTTAGCCTCAAGCCGCCGCTTTGGGGCAGGCAGCGGCGGCAGCAGCGTGTTCAGGTTGTCCACATAAGGCTGGAACGACAACTGTATGGTTTCACTGCATCAGTTAATGATGACTGGCTTATGTGATCGTCACTTCGGACCCCGTGGCAAGGAAATCTTCCTCTCCCTTTCAAGATGATCGAGCTTCCAAGTTCGCCAGAAAGAGGAAGGAAGGCATGCGCTGAACTTGGCCATTGCCTGAAGTGACGAAATCGACCACATAATTACTGGTTACCACGAATATCCCGACACATCTCAGCAATCTTCGCGGTCCTTCTAGTCCAGGATTTCAAGAACGAGACTTCCCTGCTTGCAATGGGCGGCAATTGGGGCTGGGAAATGGCGGCGGTGCTTCTGAGCTGTTGCTCGCTCGCCGCTACCATCACCGTTCTGAAGTTATACGACGGCATCAACGTGAATTCCTGGAAGTTCTACCTCTCCTTGAGCACGACCATCTCGATCTTATCCCAAGTCTCGCGCACCTCCATGGCCTTTGCCCTCACCTCATGCATCGGGCAGGCCAAATGGAATTGGTTCTCGAGACGGGAAGACCGCCTGGCTACGTTTAGCCAGTTCGATGCGGCGAGTAGAGGCCCCCTTGGGAGTTTGGCTTTGTTGTGGAAGTTTGGGTTTAGGTGACTTTTTTGAACCAGCATCCCTCCCACAAAACCATCTCTAATAAGAATACTAGTCACTGGGTGGCGCTGGGTGCCCTGACTACCATAGCATTGCTCGGTTACGATCCTGTTCTTCAAGCGATGGTCACCCGGTCAGGTGGCAATGAACCCGTGACCGACACGGCAGTGGGGCTATCTCGAACATCGCGCTTGCCCATCGCAGAGTCAGCGGCTTTTGGGACACTATACAAGGCGGATAGCGTTTTCCTGACCAGCGCCAACGGTTCGAGAGGGAACAACATTTGGGTCTTCGAATACCAGATAGAAGTCGAAGAGGGATGGAGCCTCGCCGTGTTCGAGGGGTTTGCGCACAAATACGACGGCAACCAGAAGATATATGCGCCCACCTCGTTCACATGCGCCTCGGCAAATTGCACCTATGAGATATTCGATTCTTTGGCCGTTTGCAGCGAGCGAGTGCCGCGATGTCTCGGAATATATCACCAGCGAGCCTTATTCTGATTCCACCCCTGGTGAGCAAGTTAAATACGTTTTGGGGAGGCAGACACAAGGTGATTCAGCCGTTACGCTGAGGAACTCGAAGGGAAAACTGGTGCAGGAAAGTCTCCGTAGTTTGGAGGATTCGTTCATGCACACCGGCGGGAAAGTGATTGCCGACCGACGGGAAACCTTTCATTTTCGCGACGCCTTCACCACGTTTATCGTCTTCCAAATCCTCAAAGCCCCGAGGAACTACATATCACAGCAAATGGCTTGGGAGGATGAGCAACCGGAGGCTTGGGAGTGCGGCTTCTCCTTCTGCATTAACCGGTACAACTCGACAGTCCAGGATGGCATTCTGTACGAGACGGTCCTGAGTTCAGCCAAACAGGCATTATCAGAGTCTATGAGAGCTGTACCTCACCAACACGGCGGCAACATGGGAAACATCACCAACGGAACCGAGCAGTGGCAATTCTGGAGCTACCCAAGAAACTACACCCTCTACAGCCCCCTAGGAGCCGAAGCCGTCAATCTATCAACATGGGACCAATCCAAACTATGGGACTTCGACCGCGACTCTCTCGAGCTACAGATTCCCAATGACTGGTCGAAGCTCACCTACGCAGACAACTCTAGCCATCTCCCACAGCCCGAAGACTCCCGGAGTCTTGGCATCTCAGCGCAGGCCGTCCACTCAACAATCTACTGGTTCCTCCAGCAATACCCCATGTTCAGGGACATGACCCCGCGACTCTCCTACAGCGGCGCGATAGGCACCGGCGACAACGACTCCGTCGGCAGGTCCATAGCCAAGTCGACCAACGTCACCGAGACCTTTGAGAACGCAGCCAAGCGGATGACGGCCTTCCTGCGCGAGCTGCCTCAGACCATCGATTATGAACAGGATTACGTCAACGGCCAGGCCTTTGTCTGGGTGCAACACATTCGCATACGCTGGCCGTTCATCACGTTTCCTGTCGCGGTCGCGGTTGCCGGGCTGGTGTTCGTCCTGTTGACGACGTGGGAGACTAAGAGACTTGGGCTCCGGGCTTGGAAGGAAGGTTCCTTGCCTGTGCTTATTCATGGTCTTGATCGGTCGACGCGAACGAAGCTCCGGAACGCGGACAGCGCTGGAGTGGCGGATAAGGTCTCGAAACAGACCGTTGTCACTCTGAACAGGGATTCTTCCGATGGGAGTTTTGAGTTGAAGGAGTCGAAGGAATCGGCTTCTGCTACCGGCGCGTTATTGGATAGCGATGCTTCGAGCTGGAGTGAGTCGCTCACGAACAGAAACAGAGATGGGCGGGAGGGGATGTGATCTGAAGGAACCGGGTGCTGATGGTGGCACCTCGACATAGCCAGAGAGCGTGACCGGCAAGATTGAATAAAAACGGGGTGCAAGATTATTGTTTTCGGAGTAGGGTGGATCACTATGACGAAACAAAAGGTGACAAAAAAGGGGAAAAGAGACATACAACACCAGGGATTCGCTGGTCGTCACCGACCCAACTACTAGTCTGGCCCTCACTAAGCTTGTGTATGGGAGTGAGAAGGATATCAATCGGGTCTTTTAATCACGTGGTAGGGTCAAAAAACTGAACAATCACCTCCCGTATCCAATCGTTCGTTACGGAGGCATTACGGTGAGTGTGGAGGCGGCGCTAAAGATATTAATACAATTGGGCAGATGACGAGGAAAACGCCTACATCTTGGCGGCGTTCGACGTGCCAACCACAGCTCTGGGATCTGATGCCAACTCTATTTAAAGTATGCACAAGCCCGACTTTTCACTCGTCTGCCTTGACCTACCTCTTTCGTCTGCCTATATCGGCCTACCTCCTTCATCTGCCTGCCTTGCCCTACTTCATTGGTCCAACTATTCGTCGCTCGGTAAAATCCAACATTGACGAGCCCCCAGTATCCGGGAAGAATCCCCGAACCAACGCAATGGCATCATGTAAATCTTTAAAAGACCGAGAACACAAATTAGAGGAGATATTTACCGGAGTCCATCGCAGCCGACAGCTTGATCAACCCTCTCCCACGATTCGCGACTGCGCTATTGAGCCATACCTCCGAAGAGTGGGACATCCGTGACTGTAACAGCCACCGGTGGTGATGTGAACGTGTGCTTAGCGAAGTAGGGAAATTTCGGAGCCTTCCCCAAGATGGTTACGGGTGATTGTCGAGGATGGTAAGTCGCCAGAGAAGGTGTCTTCCAAATGAAAAAGAAAGGAGAGAGAAACCCAGATCACCCAGACAAGGCAGCAGGATGCTTGTCATCAGATCCCTATCCCAAGTTGTGTTGACGCCAAGCAACTTGTTCAGCCGACTTCATGTCTCTCCCGACGCTCCTCCTGGAGAAGCGCGATGAGGCGTCCAGATGCCCTGTTCAATGCCCTGTTCAGGCTCTAGAGGAAAACAGACGGCCTATAACACATCCTGGTTTCACCGATATCCGCCTAAATTGGACTTAGGGCCTGGAGGGGTCGTCGAGCGTCGAATGTCCTTAATACCTTCGGTACCCCGGCGAAGTGGTGACGTTACACGATCCCTGACCGCAGCAACAGCCTTTGTGAGATAGATCACGAATGATGGGAATAATGTTAATTGAGGAATGCTACTCCAATCGACAGTTTGGTTGAACTGGGCAAATAGGGAGGAGCTGGAAACCGTACACGCAAATCACTATATAATTCTCTCTACTAATTACACTATTTCGCGAAGCTATCTCTCCGTAATACCTCTGGATCCTTCTGGCTTCCGCAATAATCCGCCTCATCCGATCATACAATCCCTCGTTCTCTTTTTTCCACCTCCCACCGTTCGGAAATACTTCTCTCCGTAGTTTGTTGACCCAAGGTATCAACGGCTGGTAGTATGACATGAAGTTTTCTTCTGCTCCTCCGCGTCCGCCGCCTCTAGCCAGTCTTCACCAACATCCTACGAGACTCAAGCCTCCGAACGACCTACCTAATCATTGACGTACCTTCAGCACCCATGTCGGTAGTACAAAGCCGCATGTTAAACCCCGATCCCCCGCATCTAGACTGAGGAGGACCGTGTAGCTGTGGCAACGCTACTACAAGTGTGTTGGCTCACCCAAGCACCACCAAAGAAGAGACTACTTATCCGGTCGAGGAGAATCGAGGCCTCTACCACTGTACCAAGCTTAGCCAGGACTGGTATCACGGGGCGAGAGGGCACCGTTGGGGGTATGGTAAGATATGCGTTGTTGTGCAAAGGACAGAAAAGGAGGATGTGCGTAGAGGACTGGCTATATGGGCGAGAGCCCAAACAGGCCAGTCCGTATACGCGGACGTGTGGTGCGACAATGTCACAGGCTAACCCGGTGACAACTGGGCAGTCACGGGTTAATCCTGTGGCATCTGGACCGCACAGGCACCTGCAAAAGGAGAGTCAAGACATGGAATAGTCTTGCTTCTCCGTAATGGAATACGTCATCTTGACAACAGTAGAAGGTTACCAGAATTTACAAAATTCCTCTAAATTTGCCTATCCTCCCAGACCCTTCTGGTGGCATGCTAGAAAAAATAAAATAGAGGGAAAGGAATTGAGAAAGACATGGAATACATTATATGTCTTGCGAGAAGCCAATAAACCAAACCAGTCCCGATGTGCTGCCCATAGATATCATCCGTTCCTGGAGGTCAAAAACAGCCGGTCGGTAATTCGATGGCAGCCAGAGTACGTTCTGGCCATTGCAAGTAATCCAAGACCCATTCTGTCCCAAGCCATAGCCATGGCTCTCTGGATTATCTAGTACAACTTGGCTTTCGGTAGTTTCTGTAACTATTTTAATACGTCCAACGCCGGTACGTAGGTAATGATTAGTATCGTCAAACGATATAAGGGTCATCGCAGTACTAGGATTAATCGTTTGGAGGCAGCTCCCCGACGCTACATTCCAGATCTTGATCGTGTGGTCCCACGAACAGGACGCAAGCCGCTGGCCATCAGGCGAGAATGCCACTGAGTCAACGGTGTTGCTATGGCCTTCTAAGGTCTGGAGGCAGCTCCCCGACGCCGGATCCCAGATCTTGATCGTGTTATCCCACGAACCGGATGCAAGCCGCTGGCCATCAAGCGAGAATGCCACTGAGCAAATGGAATCGCTATGGCCTTTTAGGGTCTCGAGGCAGCTTCCCGACGCCAGATCCCAGATCTTGATCGTGTTGTCCACCGAACCGGACGCAAGCCGCTGGCCATCAGGCGAGAATGCCACTGACCAAATGTAATTGCTATGGCCTTCTAGGGTCTGGAGGCAGCTCCCCGACGCCGGATCCCAGATCTTGATCGTGTTATCCCACGAACCGGATGCAAGCCGCTGGCCATCAAGCGAGAATGCCACTGAGCGAACGACCGTGCTATGGCCTTCTAGGGTCTGGAGGCAGCTCCCCGACGCCAGATCCCAGATCTTGATCGTGTTGTCCGCCGAACTGGATGCAAGCCGCTGGCCATCAGGCGAGAATGCTACTGAGAGAACGGCCCAGCTATGGCCTTCTAGGGTCTGGAGGCAGCTCCCCGACGCCGGATCCCAGATCTTGATCGTGTGGTCCGCCGAACTGGATGCAAGCTGCTGGCTATCAGGCGAGAATGCCACTGAGTAAACAGAATGGCTATGGCCTTCTAGGGTCTGCAGGCAGCTCCCCGACGCCGGATCCCAGATCTTGATCGTGTTGTCCCTCGAACCGGACGCAAGCCGCTGGCCATTAAGCGAGAATGCCACTGACGCAACGGCCCTGCTTTGGCCTGCAACGGCCCTGCTATGGCCTTCTAGGGTCTCGAGGCAGCTTCCCGACGCCGGATCCCAGATCTTGATCGTGCTGTCCACCGAACCGGACGCAAGCCGCTGGCCATCAGGCGAGAATGCCACTGAGCAAATGGAATCGCTATGGCCTTCTAGGGTCTGGAGGCAGCTTCCCGACGCCGGATCCCAGATCTTGATCGTGTTATCCTCCGAACTGGACGCAAGCCGCTGGCCATCAGGCGAGAATGCCACTGAGCAAATGGAATCGCTATGGCCTTTTAGGATCTGGAGGCAGCTTCCCGACGCCGGATCCCAGATCTTGATCGTTTCGTCCTCCGAACCGGACGCAAGTCGCTGGCCATCAGGCGAGAATGCCACTGAGTTAACGTTCCCGCTATGGCCTTCTAGGGTCTGGAGGCAGCTCCCCGACGCCGGATCCCAGATCTTGATCGTGTTATCCTCCGAACTGGACGCAAGCCGCTGGCCATCAGGCGAGAATGCCACTGAGCAAATGGAATCGCTATGGCCTTCTAGGGTCTGGAGGCAGCTCCCCGACGCCGGATCCCAGATCTTGATCGTCTTGTCCCCCGAACCGGACGCAAGCCGCTGGCCATCAGGCGAGAATGCCACTGAGTCAACGGTGTTGCTATGGCCTTCTAGGGTCTGGAGGCATGCATTCCAATCTAATTCCACAGCCGGCTTAGTTCGAATCCATTCAGGTTCTTCTGCCCTGAAATTCCTCTTTATCAAGCTACCGCTTGGAGCAAATACAAGCGCTGATATGTATGTTTGAAGGGGAGCTTGCTCTATTATTGACTTATAAGATAGAATAAACCGGTAAGCATCCCAAATAAGCTCTGATAACTGCGACTGACCATTACCTCCCTATATCTCTAGTTAGACCAAGTTCCCAGTGCGGAGTTAGACTTATACTTACCAGCAGACCCTCGAGCTGTCTTATGACGATGACACCCTCCGACATGGCTCGGAGTAGGCTGAGAGCTTCAAGCCAGTAAAGGTACTTCTTCGCGAGGAATATATAGACAATCCCTTTATCCTGTAAAGGATCATGCCGTTTTGTGTTCGTGCCAGAAACCGAGTCACACAAGTGATCAACCCAGTAGACGCACGAGTACCGCACCGTCGCTAGCGGGTCCGGATCCGGTACTTGGACCTTGTCGCTCGGAAATCCCGGTGCGCTTAAGCCGTACATGTCGCGTCGCAATACTGTAGACATGGTATCAAGTGACCTCAAGAAGATGGTATAATTCACATATTCTTTCCCAGAAGGAAAAATCCACTTGAATGTCTCCAGAGAAGCTTGGTTGCCAGCTTTATCAGAGGCATTGCCGAGTAAAAAGTCCTTAGCTGATTGATGGACAAAATAAATGGTTCGTTCTCGTAGTGTTAGAAATGAACCACAAAGCCCTATAAGCTCTTCAAGGAACTGCGGATCATCTGAGAGATCGTCTGACATCTCGACGAGAGTGGTCAGTTCTTGAAGGCTGATGGGTCGGCGAACGATAGAGGAGATGGCAAGAATTTGCCTGCACAGATCCGCATGATCGGACTGAATAATCTGCTTCATCATCCGCCCATACAGAGAATCCAACCCAGGGGGGAATGCTCGTAACTTTGTGAGTGTCTGCCACCTCCGAACGCTCGGGTCCGCAAGTCCTTGGCAGACCAAGGCCACCCAGAGAAAAGTCCCATTCGCGTTAGAAGAGAGATAGTCATGTACATCCGCCTGTAATGTGCTGTCGTATTGTTTCTGCTCCGACAAGTGAAGAACTTTGTGGCGGATATATGCACTGACGGCAGTGGTGACGGCTTCGGCGTTTAGCTCGAGGCTGAGTCTGGACTGCTGCGCGACGATCGCCAACTGTTCTTCGATCTCCACCCAGTTGCGACTAGATACAAGCCACTTGACACGAGCAGACACAGATGATATCTGGACGATCAACTTGAGAAGCTGCGGTTGGCCTGTCACACATTCGTCCAGAGCATCAATCACCAGATAGGTGACCTTCAAGTTCGGGTCTTTTAGCATCTCGCCTAAAACCTTAGACAGGACGATCCATGCCATTGCATCATCGGAGGGGTATGTGTTCTCCGGTAGATATGAGAGCAGGCGTGGTTGCTGGTGGGCAAGTAGGTAGATTAAGCCTCGTAGCACGGCAATTGCGTTATTGATGCGCGAGTCGGTAGCTTGGCAGAAGAAATACGTTAAGTTGCCGCCGTCAGCGATAACACGCCGCTCTAGCTCGTCGATGATACCGCATAGCAACATGGTCTTGCCTTTGCCTGGATCTCCCTTGATCCAGAGCAGGCGACTCTCCTGCAGCTGGCGCCATCGTTTGAAGTCGGGGTTGTCGAAGACCCAGCGGTAAGCATCAGGCAGCAGACCACCCTTCGCCAGCTCGATCCGCTCTTTTTCGACGTGCGGGTCACGCGGGTCCGTGGGCCACAATTTTGCCAGACAGAGGTAATCCTCGTGAACCTTGTCCTGCAGCCGCTTCAATGCTTTCTGCCTTCCTTCACCGTAGAGAACCGGCATGTGCACATCGAAGATGCCGAATAGAGAGTACGCCTGGTCTTCCTCGTATTTTGTGTCACGCTTCTCGATCCATCGCATCCGTTCGGCGACGCTGAAATCAGATAGAGGGACACCTTGGAAGGCTTTTCGCGGAATTCCGGTTATATCATGAATTTCTTGTTCCAGAGACTCCTTATCTCCCAGGCGCTGGCCCTCTTTAGAGAAGAATTCGACGATCGTTGGGGCAATGAGCTCTTGGAGGGTCCATCCTCGGGAAAACCATTTACTCTCTCGAAAGGCCGGTTGCCAACCGGGGCCGTCGCCGTACTGATAGGTTGAGACGTCTGCTAGGTACACGTAACATTTTACCGCGCTGCGGTACCAATGGAACATGGAGTTGAGAGCGCGCTGAAGCTCGGCGCTGTCAGACTTATCGATGCAGCATGTGTCGACCCAGAAGAATTTCAACCCATCGCGCCAGGCTTGGTCTCCGCAAAAACGAATCTTAGCGTAGCTTGCTTTGTTCTTGCCTGTACCGTCCGTCATGTCTCTGAAGAGGACCTCTTCGGGACCCCATGTGTGTGAAAGTATCGCATACGGTGGAATCTTGTTGTTGGGGAGGTCCTCCGTCAGACGGACCCCGCCGGTATCGTCACGCTCCAGGAGTCGCATTGCAGAGTTCGCCAGCCTCAGCTCCCTTGGAAGCTAATCATACAAATGTTCGATGATGGGAAAAGGCTCGCAGGCTTTGCGAGCGGACGGCTTATGTTGGCGGGACTGTAGGTACAGTAAATCAGCAGTTGAAACTAGAGAAATTGCTCGACAGACGAGAATTACTTACTATAAGTAACTGACAAAATTCGTAGCGTATATCTCGGTGGGTTTGATTGGGAGCCTTGAAGGTGGTTGCTGTTGTTGTCTTTGTTTCAAGGCGCTACCTTTGCCTGGATCACCAATCCCGCAGGACTCAGACTTCCACCATACCCGACGCGAACTGAGTAGAGGTATCGGGCACAGCCTCTTCGGCACAATCTCTTCGACACAGCTGTCTTGCAAGCAGAAGACTCGCCAATATCGCGTTGGGTACATCGTTGGGCATAGATGATTGAGAGGCCCAGGGCGCCAAGCCCGGAAAGGAAAGGCGTTGGTCAGCCTTTACTGTAATGGAGAGCTGCTCTGAGTGGATGGGTAAAGAGGAGAAGGTAATGCATTGGGAAGATGGTCTTGATTGGATGCTTGCTCGTTCTGATGCCCTCCACATCACGTGGTTGAAAGTCACGGTGAGCTTCAGGGAAGAAGATACATTCAGGAACGGTGAGGTGAGGAAAGGAAGGTGTGAGCGTAGACGAACTTTCCGAATGTGAAGCCTCAAAACGAAATTCCAAGATTACCACAGCGGGTTAGGGTTACCGGCGAGCACCGAGAGGAAGTTTTGCCCAGGAACGTAGAACTGCCGGGCGTCGCGTCATTCCGTTGAGATAATATCGATTATAGCCGTGGCTAGAATTCCCAAAAGAGGCTCTCCATCGCATTTGGTCCTCGCCATCTATTGCTAAAAGATTAAGCGTCCCCAAGTATCTCGGAGACCGACTGAAACGCGATTTTACTGTAAGCGCCGAGAGTCACGAGGGAAACTCACCTAAAAAGGAGCGGGCCCTGGAGATGACGCCTCAACGAAGAGAGTCAGACGCAAGGAACAACAGAGGAAGGCCAACACCATGGAACTTGTACTTAGTATTCGGAGGGGAGGTTGGCCATGGCTTCAGACTAGGCAGTCTATGGGTGTGTTGCAAGCCAACCGCATGGTTATGACATGCCAGGATGGAAGGGAAGAGGTAGGCTGATGCAGGCAGACGAAGGTAGGTTAAGGTAGGTATATGAAGGAGGTCCATCGTGATCCAACAAGACAAGAGCGAGAGACTCCCTTGCCACGCTCTCATCTGCATACACATAACTGGGCCGAGGAGTACGAAGAACCAATCAGGAATGGTCTTCTGACCGAGTGCAATCTTGGTGTTACCCGTGTAAAAGATCTAGCCGCAGTGTCAGGACGGTCTACTTTGCTCATAATCCGCCCAATTATATTCATCTTCTTAGCGCCGGCTCCCCACTCACCGTAATGCCTCCGTCCGAACGATATGGATATGGGAGGAGGTTGTTCAATTTTTTGACCCTACCACGTGATTAAAAGACCCGATTCATATCCTTCCAACTCCCATACATAAGCTGCCCCTCACTGGCTTATCTATGGGAGAGCGGACGGGATCCCGAGTTTTCCGGTGGGTATGGTCGTATGTACTAATTAGGCTTATGAAAGCGGTATATAACAGACGAGTGAAATTGCATTAACTGTCCTGCTGAGCCTCATATCTGCTGCGCTCTCTTCATGGTAAAGCTGATGCTATGGTTGATTCTGGAGGCACCCTCAGCGTCATTCTCGAGCTTTTGGATTTCCCTTTCCATTCCGTGTTGTTCGTCGGTCATTCTGCGCTGTTGTATCTGTTCCCATACCACCCAAGCGGCAATGACAAGAGCGGTAAGTGGAATGGCTGCGGCGAAATAGATACAGAGTTTTTCTGGGTTGTCCATGTTAGACCAATCCATCGTCATGACCAACATCATCGAACAGAAAAGGGCCTTACCAATGTTGAACTCAAAGAACGGCATACTGAATATGGTCGACAAGAAGGTCCCGGGAAGGAACAGGGCACCCATAAATGACAATCCCTTCATTGTTTGGGCATCCCGGATACTCGCCTGCGTTAAGTTGATCTGCCATTTCGCTGTTGCCATGTTCAACTGCCCGTTTCTTTGAGAAACTTCTGCCGTCATAAGGTGTATCTGGTTGTTATATGATGTTAGCACTATGTCTTTGACAGGAGTGATAGGCGCCCTGTTGGCAAAACTCTTATAGAAGTGCTTCCATGTTCGCAGGTCATTTGAGTGAGTAAGGCCTACCAAGCTTTCCAGAATTTGCATGCGCTGCTGTAGCTCACGAGCAAAGCTCTCAACGCTGTCCAGCCGGGCAGCTTCTACCTTAAAGCCTCTAACTAACTAGGAGTTGCCGGCAGCCATCTCCGGTGATGATTTCGAGCTGTCGGAGAGTTCGATCCAGAATTTCTGTATCGCCTCTTGGAGGTTATCGATGACCTTGCCAATAGTCTCCGCAGAGCCCAACATTGACACTACCTTTCGGCGAATGTCCGCCCAATCCCTCCCCATACGTCGGAAGTTCCACACGCTCGTATCTGTATCTGCATAGAGATAGTTTCCTGCGGTTGCCGCCGATACTCCTCTCGAGTTACACGCCAAAACGAGTTCCTGGTCTTCAATGATTGACATGGCAAAGGAGTTCTCCTCGTTCAGTTTCGATATGAGATGGCGGATCATCACGTAGGGTAGGGCGAATGGGTGAGGCACCTTACTGGCAAAGTTCCCAAACTGATCAATGCAATTAGCAATATACATGGGCATAAAATCCGTCGTGCCCATGCTGATCCGGAAAAGCGCGGTTGTCTCGTTGCGGTCGAAGGTATAGGTAAGTGCAAGCTCAGCGCTTTGTCCCATGCTGTCTGACTCGTCAGACTGCATAACTGAACGAAGAAACTGATGCCGGAACACAACGCCTTGAAAGAAGTAAGCAATTCTGGTACCAAAGAGGACAATACCGAGATCGTATGCAGCCAGTGGAATGTATGAAACAGAGTGAACAGTGCGATGGTTTAGAAAGATCCAGAACACTCACGCATGAGGTGCTCGTTATTATCCTGGGTAAACTCCAGCTGGAAGAATGGTCCCATTGTCCTCTCCACGTCCATCAAAAGCCAAGGCAGCTTCAAGCCCTCCATAACCACTCGGTGGGTGTCTGGTTTTAGAAACCATACATCCTGATATTCATTTTTCCGTTGGTAGAAGGGCAGTGGAGGTTCATGCAAGCTAAAGGATGTTAAAACAAATCAAAACCGAAGTCATGCTGGGATGAACATGTAACTTGCATAAGACAGTGAAATTGGCTTTTGACACTGATACCATCTGGTAGTTTATTCAGACTGAATTGTCCCTTGAAATATAAAAGTTTAGTTGATTTGCCCCCACACCAATCCAACATCGTTCTGAGAACTTCAAAACGGACAAATACATACCTGACGATTCACAAACTTCAAGATTTCTTCATCATCTGGAAGAGAGCATCTCTCGGGTCTATTGTAACAGGATTACTATAGTCTTGTCATCAGTTCCAACGCTTCGGAGTCTTATGTAACTTCATACCAGGCAGTGTTGAGTATCCAGGAAACAAGGAACGAAGACCAGCCTTACTGTGTAGTTGACTACGTCCAGAAGATACACCTGCACGAGCCCGGTGGTAATTCCGGGGCGACGCGAAAGGATCGCGCAGGAGGCCGAAATCCATTGGCTGACTGATCCTTTCGACTGAATCGACCGATATCCGCTCAAGAGCAGAAGTTGCTAGCGCGCGTTCAGGCCTTTTATACACGTAGACACGGGAGGCTAAAGGCTGGTTATGTCACCATAAGATGCCAATCAAACTCTCCGGAAAGAGTTTATGATTTGTTTCTGCCTGGCCGGCTACCTCACAACAAGTGGCGCCTGCTCAGCCTGCTCCGTTGCTGTCAACGATCTCAAGAGGCCTCAGGATAGCCAGCATCACCGATATTAGACAACTCAAAGGTACAGCGCATCTTGGCAATGGCCAAGATGGGCGAGACCGATTGCTTCGGTGAGGTTGCGCCAGTTCGAAAATGATTAATTCTACAAGCTGCGATGGAGTAATGGAGGTGCTTCTAGCCCAGAGGCTGGAGCGGGGGCAGTACATTGAGTACCTATGTACATAGTAGCATACATATGCAAGCTTGACAGACCTCGATATGTGAGTGGTTGTAAGATTGACCCAAAAAGTACTCGATATATTACCTTCGTACAAAAAAACTCGAGTCAATATGAAGCTGCGCAAGCGTGACTGCAACGGGTACCTCAAGGTACTTACCTTTGGGACCCGACTGGAGTGACGTACTGTTTTGAGTCGATGTTTGGCGTCGGGAAGGTGCATTTCACGTCTTCTGAGCCCCGAAGAAGTCAGGTCTGCGGTGTTATCACCGCAGCACGACCGTCATTCAAATCTGCGGTGCAACCACGATCACTCACCCCCAACCTTTCAATATCACGACTGACCATGAAGCTCTCATTCAACAACATCAACCATGTTTCCAAAGGTTCTTTCACAGTTTGGAGGACCCGGTAAGCCCTCCTATGTTGCACTGCCGCCTTGCGGGTGGTAGCGTGGATATTAACCGTAGTCAGCAGCCGGTTCCGGGTTGAACCAGTACTTATACCGGACCTCCGCCTTGCTATGGTGGACGCTATGTCAACATTACGAACGTATATCGATATACCCTTCCATTTACCGACCCTTCCTGACGCTTCAGCCTTTCCATAACACCGATTGCAGGCGTGATGGGTCTAATAGGCCAAAACATCTCTGGTCATAGTTTCACCAATTCTTCCAGCCCTAGACTTAGATGGGTTACTGAGCCTGATATCCGTGGGACCTTCAGCATTCTCTCCACGTGCATTGTCACCCTTGTCCTCTGCGTTTGGACGGCTATCCATCTCAACGTTCCTGGACACAAAGAAGGGGCGATGAAACTGTACACAGTGATTCACACAAATCAAATGCTAATAAAGCAAAGCAAATCTACCCCCAGCGTGACAAATCAAATCTGTGTAAAAAATCAGTCAAATTAATTTAAATCTGGGTACAAATTTGCTTTATTAGTTTTATATATTTATTTTATTATAGCTATGAGATTTTTGCAGCAATATACCTCTCCGATGCGTGTAGTATGACTTTTACTGCACACGGTCAGGTATAAATATAAGCGTATTAACGAGAAAATTGTCGTATTTTAGCTAGGAAACGAAGGATCATAGTGATTTTTAGTACTTTTAATATAGGATCTTAGTATTTTTAGGCGTTTCCTCTCCTCCTCTTACTTCTCATTACCTCTCCTATTAACTAAATCGTTAATACCTTAACTTATTAAATTAATTCTAATAATAATACATATTAAACTGTTATTAATTATATCCTAACTTAATTAATTAAATTCTACTATCGCGCTAACCAACATTAATATAACCTTATTATCCTTATTACCTAGTAAGGTACCAAAATCTCCCTAGCAATTATTTAGCACGTTTATTAAACCCTATAATCCGTTCGGGCGCTCTATCTTTCGACCGCTAAAAATACGTATTACCGACTTAAAGAAGGTCGACCCCAATAAGCTTACTCGCTAACTATAATTAATATAGCCGTACGTAGAGTATAAATATTAGAAATATATATTATAGTCGTAGATATATATTAAGTAAACTGATAGATTATAAATAAATAACTATAGTATAAGGTTATTACAATTAAAAAATAATAACCTTAGTGAGACAGATTCGAAGAATTTCGCGTATAACGTATATAGTAGATTATATAATTTGAAGGCAACCTCATTAATATTTAATTACTTAGAATTAATATATCGTATACTTTTACTTAAAAAAAAGGTAATTTAATAGGAGGCTTAGATAAATTATAATAAGGGATACTAGAGTATTAATATACGCGCTTCGTTTGGGAGATTTTAAACGTTTTAAATCATCGCGAAGGCCACCGGCAATAATATTAAAAACGCGCTTATCGATTTTATTATTTCATCCAATATAGGATTTATTATTATTAAGAACCTAGAATTTTATAATTTACTTCGATTATTAAACCCTTTATTTACCGCTACTATTTTACTAGATAATCAGATAACAATAGGGAGATAGTTAGAGGATTATTTTAATAAAAAGAAATTTAGAATGCGAAACGAACTTATTAAAACCTTATAGAGAATTTATTTCTCCTTCGATCTTTAGACTTTACCGAATAGGTATACAATTCTTATAGTTATTATATACTATACGGACGTAATTAGTACTTTAAAAATTCACTTAATTATAATACCTTACGTTAAAAGTTATTATTATAGTGAAAATATTAATTAATCCAATTAATCCTACACTAAAATAATTACTAACAATCGGACTTACTAGGTACCATTATTAATAATATAATCGATAAATACAATATCCGCCATAAACTAAGATTCTTCCAAATTAATAACGCAGACTCAAACAATAAAGCAATTAAATATATTTTTAGTATCAAGGACGAAGCGAGAGATAAAGTAATAGTAAAGACCATTACGTACGTTATTTTAATTATATTTTTAATTTCGTAGCGAAAACTTTCCTTGAAGGCAATATACCTAATTTAATTAATTACGAATTCGACCCCGCTATCCTAAAAGAAGAGGAAGTAATACTATTAAATTACTAAAGGAAGCGCAATACCTTTAGTAAGCTCTATAACGTAGTTATCTTTATCCGTTGATCCCTTTAGAGACGAGAGAGTTTCTATGATTTGACGGTTAGCGATATAACCCCGGAGTAAATTATGAAATTTAGAAATTTCTACGTTAATAATAACGAAAAGAGTCTTACCTTCTTCTAAAATAATTCGATTCGTTAGAATTCCTAGTATAATATAATCGAGCGCGCCATTCGTTTAAGACCGGTCTTAAATTATTAGTATTTAATATATAATAATTAGTTGAAGGAGAAATAATTAGATAAGTTAACGATAAATAATTAGGCTGTATTAAATGCCGTTAATTCTATCCTTTTAAAATTTAAAGAGCTTATAAAGCTGTTTGAAGGTAAGCAACTTAACTTTAGTAGTATCCTTTTCGAATTAAAGAAATTAATCAAAGAATTTAAAAGGTAACGCTCTATATATTATACCCGTTTCGAAGTCGAACCTTTCAACGGTAGTTCGGATATCCTACCTCGCTGCCCCCTGCTCGTCGAGCTTATTAATTCTCAAATTAATAAGGTCGTTAGTTTTACTCCTTGGCAATTATATCGAACCTACTATATACCCGCCCGGTTTCGTAGCTATGAAGTCAATTTGCCTCGTCTTAGAGAACCTTCATAGAATCAACCCTACCCTCGTCCGGCACAAGACGAAGTCCTTCAAATAGATTTTAGTTTTAACGGAGATTTATTTATCCGTAATAGTATCGATTTTACGATAACTAAACTGGAAAAATACGCAACGTTGCTAGAAGATTACTAACTGTATTAGTTAACTATGTTGTTATACCCTATTAAATATAAACAAACCCTCTATTCTTACTATAGTACGGTTAAGGGAACTAGTCTCATCGAAACTTTTAAGTAGATCTTTATCGACTAGTACTATAATTTAGACGACGATAACTACCCCTAATTTCCAATTCGAATCTATATAGAAAGAGAGGCGCGCCGTCGGGAATATATATTTAAAAACGACTTCTTTAATTCCTCTATAAAAGATGTAGAAAGGTCACGTAAGTCTGACTGGCAGATATAAAAGATAATCATAATTCTGATAATAAAGGAAGAAAACTAGCTATATAGGAGCGGACTCTCCGAGTCCGACTTATAGGTCTAAATCTGCCTAACTTAAACTTCCCTTAAATTAGGGTTAAAGACTTGGATTTACTAGCTAAATTTGATTTACTTAATATAATTTAACTTATTTATAAATCTACCAGTAAGTAATAAATCTTCCCCCAAATTAATTACCCGATTAAATTAGATTTATCTTTTCATAATACCCCCTCGATATTTAAATCTATTATTTCGACGGAGTATTACTATAGAAATTAATTTATATATATCCAATTAATTATCGTCGGGGAAAACTCCTACGAAATTATTATATAAAATATCCTTATAACCCTAATTAAATAACGTCCAATTCTTGATATAAACTTGATATCCTTTAAATATACTTCTTCTAATAGTAATAAAAACCCTTCCGCCTCTTAAATTTGCGTTTATAGCCGTAGTAGGCTTACTTTATCCGTTATTAATCTAGATTAATCTATTCTAATATACGAAAATAATAGTTACTTAATTCGTTATTAGTTCCTTAATAGGAAGGAATTCGGCGTCGTCTCTAACCTATTTAACTATTACGCCTAAAAATACCTTCTCTTAAATACCGTCGTAGAAATTAGGAAGATTGGTATAAACTACTTTTAATAGCTATTGAAACTTAACGTCCAAAATTTTCTATTTAATTATTTCTATTTTATATATTTTTAATTTAATTTTTACATTCGTATATTTATTTTTTAAAATATTAATATAATTTTAATACGAATTAATTTACTTTTATAAGTTCTTAAAGGCCGACCCGGCGCTAACTATAATAATATTTAGGGTTCTATTTAAAGAAAATTCGAAAATTGAAAGCGTTATAATAAATTAATTAAATTTAGCTTTAATTAGGCTATTAAAGGATAAGGCAAATAGCCTACTAAGGGTAGCGAAAATAAATTAGGAAATAATTATATGTAAAATACTATTTAGGATTAAGAAAGTATATACCGATATCCTTTTTCCGCTAAAAAAAGTATATTATGGGCGATTAAATTTATACGGAGGGTAAGAATTTAAATAATATTATTAAACTTCTTATTAAAATTAATATTCGCGGGGTCTATTTTAGAAAGAAAACTGGTAAAAATAGGCCGATTAGCCGGAATTTAAGTAATATCGTCCAATTTCTTATTAAAATTAATATTCGCAGGGTTTATTTTAAAAAGAAAACTAGTAGAAACAGACTAGTTAATTAAAATCTAAGTGATCTCGTCTATCCTTTTTCCGGAATTCAAATTAGTAAAGAAGTTAATAGAAACCAGGTGGTTACTTAACGTCTAAATAATTTTAAATTTCTTTTAAAACTTAATAATTACAATAGCTTCTATATTCGAAGAATCCTCGTAAATTTAAATTGAAATATCCGAATTTAATTTATTATTAAAAGTAACGGGCTTTTTATTTATAATAAAAATATTAAATATTTTTACACGCTTAAATTAAGCATCGGCCTTATTCGAAGACTTACGTTTAATTGCGGATATAAGCTTAATTTCAAATTTATTAACCTTTACATTTTTAATTTCGAATAGAATGTAAGGCGGTAGACCATCTTCGAAATACTATTATCTATTTTTAATCAACGCTTCGATAATAGCGTTATATTTATTAATAATAAATTAGAAGTTATTATTATTCTCTAATATATATTTGTAAACCAAAGTGAAAACTTTATTATTAACGTTTTTACTAGTAATATTAACCTAAATAACCTTATTATAAATTTTAACAGCAATATTAAGGACGTAAGCGTTAATAATCTTAACCTCCATCTTTTAAACGGGTTAGACTATATTATCTTACTTAATAAAACCGGTTTTTAAAATTAGGTCGTAAATTCGTTTAGTACGATAATTTAATATCGGAGTAAAGCCTTTATCTTTTATATTAATTATCTACTTTTTATAACCTCCCTTATCCTTTATAATCTAATATACGATTTGAATAATTTATATACAATAAATATCTAGTTTTTTTAATAGTATATCGAATTTAATTATTAAAATATCTGCTCTAGCAATAATTTTAATTTTCTTATAAATTAGAATTTACTTTATATATTTATTCCATAAAATATTCTACCTCTCTAAGGTAGTTACCTTAAATAGAATGGCTATTACTAT